TGCGCTGCCGCAGCTGCGCTTCAATTTCCTCCCCGCGATGGATGAGTTCCCGCATGCTGAGGCTACCTTTCCGTTGCTCTGTAGCCTTCCAGTATGCCAGTGCGGACACCTCCGCGATCGCAAGTACCACCTCGTCCGGACATCCAATTAGTGTCTCCATCCGCACGTCGGAGTGCTGTGTGCCAGCCCAAAAGCCGGCGCCGCCCCCGTAGAGCCTGCGGTAGAGCGACAGGAACCGCGGCGGCTGTGTAAACGTAATGCTCGACACAACGTCGATCCACTGCGAGGGAGGTGCGGGTCGGATTAGCAGGCAACCCGAAAAGATACAGGGTCAGACGCACCATGGTTGCACGTGCAGCGAATTGACATATGACCGTCATGTTGAGCAGCATTAGTTTCGGGTTCTGCTCCTCGTGGATTCGTGTTGATGTCAGCCAGCTGTACGCGACCTCGAGCTCTGACGACCAGTCATACGGAACGGCAGACAGGAGCGCATAGCTGACGAGCAGCACTGCCGCAACTGCATCTGTTTCGCAGTATTGCCCGTGGAGGCTTTTCGTGTTGACGAGCTGGTAGTGTGCGTGCTCGTAATATTCCTTGGCAATCTCGGGCTCGGCCGCGTGTGCGTCGAGGCCCTGCGCGACGCGGGTGCGAAAGTAATGTAGGCTAGATAGCGCGCAAATGGCGTTGGCGGTGGGCCCGCGCGGCTCCGCCGTGACGATCTGTTGAGGGTAATGACAATATGATCAGCATTGCTTCGATCGAGCGGGAAGATGGATAGACGTGACGGAAGCGCGCCGGGTCCCACAAGGACCTCCATGCTCGGGCCCATATACAGAAGACAGACGCGACAAGATACTCACCGAGTGAAGGGCGTTCGTGAGCGAATTGCCTGCAAAGACGTATTGTGTCTTGCGAACGCTTTGGAAGTAGTACACCATGTACTGCTCGTGGCTCATTGTCGGCACCGCCGTCGCCGCGCCCTGGGGGAAGTATGTTGAGTCGTATGCCGTAGGATCGTCGCCATGCGGAATGGGTATCGTGGGGGATAGCGTAGTGGGGTATACATACGCCTGGGCGGCGTGGAATGCATCGTGTAGCGGCGTGAGGGGGTTCATCGTCATCGCGTACGAGGGGCTGCCGCCCGCGCGCGGACCAGTGGGAAACCCGGGCATGCTGACCGGTGGTGGGCGTGGTCGGGAGGAAGGCGGCGGGCGCTGATACGGGCTGTCGCGCGCACCAGAGAAGCGCGCGGAAGAGGGCCCAGGGCCGGCGACGGCAGATGCGTGCGGGTGCGCAAGGGGCGCGGGCGACATGTACGCGGCGCGGGGGCGACCACGGATGAGGCCCTTGCGGTTGAGGTCCTCGGTGATGTGCGCCTTGTACGCGGCGACCTTCTCCTTGTCCTGGTACACACGCACGATCAGCGCAGGCACAGAGCAGAGGGAAAGAGGGACGCACTCGCATCCAGTCTGGTCGCTTTACGCCCCAGCCGAGGCATTCGATTCCAAGGCGGCGACAGGTTCTGCACGCACCGTTGTCATCTTCACGCTCCTCGTCGCATTTCTGGAAAGGGGTTAGAATGAGTGGGGTAGGCAAGTGGACGAAGTACCTTTCTTCTCAGGCGGCATGTCCTGGGCGGAGGTGAGCCGGGGGGATAACTGCGGAGGAAGAGGAGATGGTGCGCACCAACAGCCACCCTTGCCTGCGGCGGAGTGGGAACGGGCGACATCAGGGTTGGGACGGGGCCGGGAGTCGAGCAGGGAGTCGTGGGGATCGCGCCCATCTGGTGTGGGAGTCATGTAGAGGGATGGAGGCGCGGAGACGGGGGAGGCGTTGCTGGATGGGATGTCGGAAAAACTTTCGCTGTCTGGAGACGGAGAGCCCGCACTAGGGGTGGACACGGAGGACTTGTCGGCCATGATCTCGGGCAGGACCATGTAAGGGAGGTATTATAGGCAGTGTCGGGGTGGAGGCGGTGGAGGGCGCGGTCGGGAGTAGAGACTGGAACGGGCGACGGAGAGAACGCGTTCTTCTAGGATAGCGTGGCCAATCGCAGCGACCGACCACGATGCCAGAAGGTGCGTCACCAAGGGTCCGCGTCGGTGGACTGGACATCCGAGAGCAGAGGCCGCATCATGAGACCACATGCAGCAGTGTTTCAGTCGGATCCTCTCACCAGTCCCAGCCTGTCCTTCCTCTTCGCGCGGAGCTTCGCTCTTTTTGCCCCTTTTGACCACCCCTGCACTGCTTTCCCGCCACGCGAGCCTCCCCTTCGCGCGGAGCCCCAATTCCCTCCCCGGACCAGCCCGTCAGAGCCTGCCCCGGCTGCCGGCACCGGACGTTGCATCCTTTAGCCGGCCAAATTCTCCGTCCCATCGCAGACGCGTGCCTAGATGCGATTGCATCGACCGTCCATGTCTCCATGCCAGCTCACCGTCAACTACGCTCGTCCAGATGTCAGTCCAATGCAGCCCATCCAGGGGAGCACAAACGGCGGCCGTCACCAGAGCCTCTCGTCATGTCCCCGCCCCGCCCCTTGCCTACCGTCTCCCCACAGAGCGCGCCCCGTCTGCCCCGAGACTTACCGCAGTGCACCACAGCTGTATTCTGTCATCCCCATGTGCCACATACGACTCGGTCGGCGACGCACCGCACGCGAGCCTAGGGTAATGACGAGTAGACGCACTGCATAGCATCCGATTTCGAACAGGCTTCTGTGATATACACCTCGGCTGTAAGTACGCACCGTGACTTACCCCGACAATCCTGCGAGGCTGGCGCGCGCTAACCATGCGTCTGAACGGCCCTGCGCGGCCACGAGACGCAGCCCGCGAGGGCGGGGCTGCGCTCTCGTAGGTCGTGCGCATTATAAGCAGCTCGTCACAGTCGACCGCGAACTGGCCTTCCTATACCTATTCAGAACTTCTGATCTGCGCGATACGATGGGCGGCGATGCCCCCACGCCTCTCCCCCCATCTACCGCACTCGCGCATAGACGCACAGGGTCCGGCATGCAACCACGGAGCCAGTCCGGAGCTTGCCCCACGCGCGCCCCGGTACCCTACGCGGGAGGTATGTAGCGCACAGATCGTGTTACAACAATCGAGCGGGGCAGGACCGATCACGCGCTTGACCTCCGAGACCTTTGATAACTGTGATATCCTTGATACCGGACCAAAAGCGGCCTCCGGAGGGATGAGCCTATTATATACATGTCATCCGGTCAGTTGTTATGAGTGCGCGCGCAACTGCTCACTGAACCTGGAAGCCAGGTTGAATTGGGCTGGCCAAATGTCTGATCCTCTTCAAGTTTCTATCCGGACGACCAGCGTCGGAGTATCCGGAGCATATCAGATATAACTGTTCATAAGCACCGTCTGCTCCCTGGAAAATGGCGAGTCGACTCTTCATCATTCACGAGCCTCCGCTTGGTACATGAAGATACCAAACTTCGCATATGTACTCCAAAGAGACAAGAGGGGAGCAAGAGATACTCGAGAACGATCGAGGAAGTAGAAGCGGGGAGAGAGCAGAACAGTCCCCAGTTGCTATATCCAGGCCTTAAATACGCTCAGCCCGCCGTCTTCTACGCTACAACATGGGGAAGGCCCTCGTCGATAGGTAGCAAGCTACGAGCACCACTTCCCCGTAATGGCAAGCCGATTGCTAAATCGGACGACGCGCTCACCTCCGTAGGCCTCAGGCTTGCATGCACTTTGAATAATCCATTAATTCACGGGCGACGCATTGGATGCTCTACCAGTGCTCAACATACATGGCATAAGCATCAAGACTAAATCCATGCAGACCATCGTCTGGACAAAATTCAAGAAGGACGATCCGGGGTATCAATCAGTCCGATTTTTTTGCTTCTCAAGTCCGGACATTTTGAGTATGAATATTCACGTGATAGATGGCCGTACTTACTAGCAGTATGTAAAGTTCCTCTGCTTACAGCCATCCGACTGAGGTTTTTTGTAAACTCTTATCCAACTAGGATCGCTACGCTGGAGGCCCTACGTGACACCGTTTAGATGAAATCTGACGCACTTCTGGGCCCAGGGTCGTCAATGTTGCTGGCGGAACACACGGATACAAGACCCTCGATTGGCATGCCCATCGCATGTCTGTAGAAGATTTCTCGAGCCCTATGTTCATATGGGAAGGTTACGTTGATGCTTGGGAGTACAGCCTCCTCGTCCGAGCCCTAGCTCCATCAAAGGTGTATCTGTCATTGGACAGCCACGAATTGGTGAGTCAATATTGTATTATTTCACCTGTATCACGACGAAGGAACGGTGGCCTCAAAGGGAAATCAGTCCTCTTGGTCTACTGGCTCTTCTACTACGTGATTCCTATCATTTTCTCATCGACGAGCATAACATCACTGCATCATCAAGTGACAGTTACACCTGTCTCCATGGATATCCTCATGTCTGGTGTCTCATCGAATTCTAATTCTGGCGCCACTGTACACTATACCTGCTCCGGCCTTCCGCTATGACCGCACATCACGCGTAATCCCAATTGCTTCTCCTTCAAGCTGTGGAGTTCGCTGAAGGAAATTCTGGCGGAGCAACACTTTATGGACGTTTGGGAAAATCATGAACTCTCCGCGCTTGCGTTTGTTCTTTGTTGCCTTCAAGTGCCGAACTTTACTCCACCATTGACTGTTTGATCAGAGTTCATAGACCTCAGTACCTGCGCCGTGTCTGGTCTAGTTTCTCGGACTATCTTCTAGTCTGTGCCGGGAATGCTGGTGCGGCAAGATAATCTGTGCAGTCGATCCAGCGCTGTCCAAACATGAGAAGCCGTTGGCAATGCGATCCACGGATGTAACGTCAGTGCGAGAATATATTCGTACTCTACTCATTCTCGCTGACCGTGCATGATAAATGCTGTGCGACCAATCTAAATCGTCTTATGCATAAGCTTTGCCCCCCCCCCCCCCCCCCCC